CAAACAGTGAGAAACACAGCTTGTTTCCTGAAATCTTCGGAGGTGCCAACTTTTGTAACATTCAAAATTGTTTATTTAAGAAACACTTTAAGAAAAAGCCAGTGGGCAGTTTCTCTAATCCTTTTTTTTTTTTTCTCTCCAGCATGAACAGACACCTTAAAAGAGCTTTCGCAGTAATCCTAAATTAATATTTCATTTGAGTTTCCATGGTAGTTTCAGCTCTTCCTATTCAACTGTGAAAATTATTTTTTACTCAGAGTAACTACAGATGTGTTCTGATACTATACTATTCACTATATACATTTTGTATTCGTACGTATTGTGGTACTTTAAAGTTATTTTTTTACCAAAAAATGGATCATTAGTAGGCTTAGTAGCAGTAGTGGAGGTCAGCAGTATCATCTTCATTCCGGGGTAACCTGATTGAACATCCTTTGAGGCCAGCAGACAGTTCCCTCTACACGAGTTTGACTTTGAACATCACTGCCAGAGGTCACGAGAGGCACAACACGTACAAGTGATGTGCAGCTGGCACAGGGGAGCAAAAAGATTCCTTAGGCTTTTCTCTTCCTTTTTGTCACCTTAAAATATGGGCACTGAGTGAGGAACCCCTGCCTCCACGAGATCTGTATTTCACATGTGGAGATGGTAAAGCACGATAAATTAGTGACCTAGGATGATAAATTATCCTTCTCTCCATCAGCCATCCTTCTGTCCAGCAAAGATTTGAAAAATTCCAAATGCCCCAGTACTTTTGCAGAGATGCCCAGGGTTGGACAGACAAGATTCATTGTTGGTCTGCTTGTTCCACATGAAAAATATTTTCACTTTTAAGGCTGACAACCTTGAGGACTTTTTATCATCACTGACATTGTTTCCCTATATCATCTCATCCTCCAAAAAAGGGGATGCATTGGTTCCATTCTGATACATTAGGCACTTTCACAAATTGAAATGTTTACACAAAATTCAATTAATATGTGTGACTACACTGATTCTGATAAAAATAAAACAATTGCTGCTACATTAGGAGTGTCTCAGCAATCTCACTGCTAGGTAATAGACTGAAGTAGGAGTTTTAAAGGCATTTCACTACAGAGCTTTCCTTCTGCAAACTACAAACACCATGACTGTCTTACAAATGAGAAAGAAACAATTAGAATATGCTCAGCAAAATAAATATTCTCAAATCTGCTTCCTAATGTTCATCAACAGGACTGCATTGATGTTGGCATTTCAATTTTTTGGAGTGAGTAATCAGAGTACCAGGAACATCACCCATCTCAATTTGTCATTTAGCGTTTTGTTCTCATCATTCAGAGTTTGTGCAAACTCTTGTATAGACCAAGAGGCCAATTACAAGGCAGAGACTCCACTGCACTATTATGTAAATAAACTGGAATAACTTCTGTGAGGAAATATAAAATCGATTAGATGGAACTATAAAATTTTCAACACATCTTTTTTTTTTTTTTTTTTTTTTTTTTTTTTCAAAAAAATTTTC